GCTAACAACAAGTTATAACAATGTAACTATTAGCACTAACATTAACAAATTTCCTATTACAACAGAAACAGTGTTGTTCGTTATAATGAGATGTTGAGTTAAACTCTTAATGAAGTTCTGAAATGTRTCAAATAATGGAACACATAGTAGAATTGAAGGGATAAGAAATCCATCATATGGATGGAGCTCCAATCAGAATCATGAAAAATCCAGATTTGACCTAAGTGCAAGTGAGAGCTATTAGACAGTGTATACCTTAGCTCCAATAAGAATGATGTACATTACGACATTTAATGTAAATGAATAAAGTACAAATTTTATTTATGTTATTATGGTGTGTAATACCCTTAAACTGGACACATATGAGACTTGTGTTAGTTTAGAATCTTCATAGTCGTTGGATAGATCTAGGGAGATTTGTCCTACCAAGGCCGATACTGATGTGCCGCCAAGTTGGTTAGGGTGTTTTGTCTCAGCTGCCAGGGTGAGACCTGAGGTACATGTAGTGTGGGTTTTCTTGAAACCCTGAACCGGACTAGAATTCTAGTATTGCCCTGTACCTTGGAGATAGATGGGAAAAACTGAAATGTTACACCTGACCCCTAGACTCGATTATGATACTGCATTAGGTGTCGGATTGGACTGTCCTTGATATGCCAATCAGTGAGATCCTTAGAGAGGTCAAAACCTGGTATGTTGGGACAGTCCGAAAATTCATCTGAGTGGGTGATCATAGTGACAGGATCAGCCCCTTTGTCGGACAAAGTGAATGATCAGGGATGCACTCTCTCTGATGGAATCCAAAACTGTCGGCAGTTGATTTCAACCATTGAAATTTGTTTTTGCAAAATATATTTATATGGGGATATATATATTATGGTTTCAAAATGTTTACAAAATGTTTTAATTCACGGGATCCATGTGAGTAGAGAGTGCAACACTCTTTTAAGTGTAAGACCATTGAGGGTAATACCTGATGGGCTAATCTTGCATCTGCCCACAGTCCTTGGGTTTTTATAAGGTGGCTCGACACAGGGACCATTTAGTGTAAATGTTTGGCTCATTAAGAGCCCATGGTGATGGACTCAGGGGTTCACTGTCTCCTATAATGAATTCGGCCAGGCCTTATAATAGGGGCTGCGCTGAACCCATGTGGCTGATGTGTAGATCAATGTTTGGGTCCCATGCCATACAAGGATACCTAACTGGGCAGCAGTTTGGAAGAAAAGAGAGCACATGGACTTAATGGGCCTAAAGCCCAATTCGAACTGGTTTAATATGATTAATTAAAGAGGGGCGATTCTGGGATTTAGATCAACATATAGGATAAAGAGTTATCCCTATCCACGCAGTGACTGCAGATCCAAATAAAGATTTGGATTAGGAAACTCCTAATAATATTAGGAGGGTTGATCTTTATCTGCAGATAAAAAAGGGATTATCTTTATCTCTTAAACAGAGTCCAGATCTAAATACAATATTTTAATTAGGAAAATCCTAATGGGATTAGAAAAAGCTCTTTTTAAGGCTATAAATAGAGGAGAAGGGCAAACCCCAGTTCACCTAATCAGATTACAGATTCAAGAGAGAAGACAGCTGCAGTTGGACTGACGCCATTTTCTACTCTTGCCTTCTCCTATTGCTGCCGCCATAGCCAGTTCGATCTCCACCTGTAGAAGCGATCAATAAAGGTTATTGATATCAGTTTTTGGTGAAAAACTGATATGAAGTCGTGCTCACTCACCCTCCATCGAATTCTTGTTGAAGAGTTTGCTTTTTGCTGAAGAACCACCTACTGATTCTACTCCACCCTACGCTGTGTCATATTCAGTGGGAGCAGTTTTTGGCGTTTTCCTTGGGCGTGAACACCTCCGTTGGGAGTTGTTTCTACTCCATATTAGGTATTTTCCTCTCCTACATTTTTGTTTCAGATCTGGTCGTGTTTAGGGTTCAAAATTGATCATTGAAAATGCAATTTTCTAAAACAAGGAATGTAATTCCCACATGGGAAAGAGAGAAATTTTTGAAAATTTGACCAATCTAATTGCAGGGTTCGGCCATCCATATGATGGATCTCTCATCATTTCATTTGATTGGAGCTAAGGGCATACACTGTCTAATAGAACTTCACCTACGTGTGCTGAGCAAAACTTGGAACTTTTGCGGACATTGGACATTTTGTGTGTATGGCATCTTTGGTCTATTTTGAGAGTAATTGGTTTAAGGTCTTACCACCAATAATTTTGACAAGGCTCTCAGATATCTATATTAATAAAATGTTTAAGTTGTGAAACACCTTTTATATGCATAACTATGTCATAGTAGTTTGGGTCAAAAGAGACCTATGTAATTGATCACTTAACGTGGGGGATTGTTGGATTTTAATCTCATTAGAGATTAAATCCAATGGGGTTTGATTGGTCAATTAAATGAAAAATTACACTTGTACACATGTTTTGAAAAATAACTTTTTCTCTTAGTAAACCAGTTTTTAACTTGTCACACATTAGAAAATTACAAGATTTGTTTTGAGTATTTAAATAGTAGCTCATTCTACTTAGAAATAAAGAGGAGAGTATTTAAATAGTAGCTCATTCTACTTAGAGGCACACTTTGCTCGCACCTACGTGGCTCGCGAAGGGCRACTTTGACTTTTGGTGCGTGGCTGCCCGTTGATGTCTTCAACGGCTATGATTCGATCTGGTGTGATCAAGAGGCACAATTCAAAGTTAATTGTCATTAACTATTAACTACCTTTTAAAAGACACATTGTTTGAAATTGTTACTGTTCAAGGATCCTTTTCTAAACTAGCACATTTCTCTGCTCCTATAACTCTTCAAAAATTATTTAAGGAGCATGGGTCAAGCTTTTACACACAAGTTTTCGAAATAACTTCTGTCTCTCTCAATCCAATCTGCTACTGTCTCACATAAGGTTTTTTCAGAGAATCTTCAACTTTGCTGATTGTAGACTCTCACCCAAGGTTCTATTGTATCTTGGGAACGAATTTGCTTGTAACCCAACAGCAAACTCAGTGGAACTGAGTGGGGGCAAATAACGTTCTAAAGACAATGTCTTTAAACACGCCTCAGAATTTTCCTCCAAGTTTCATTGACCCCATTTCCCAATAGGTCTATTGGCATGGTGGGTGTTTCAGCTTAGATATTCTTTCAGCAATCAATTGAATTGTTGCCGACGATGTTAACGTATTATCAATCTCCCTAGGAGGCAGTGTCTCTACTTATTATCGCAATAGTTTGTCAATAGCCACTTTTGGGGCCATGGAAATGAGTCTTTTTGGTTCATGCTCAGTAGGAAATGGAGGAGATTTCCCATCCATGTATCTCCGTGGGTTACCATAGTTGGAGCCAGCACCATGGACAGAGATTTCCCGTACATGGTAAAGCTAGAATGGTTAGATTTTGTCTAGGGTCTCACTCTACAAAGGCTAGACATGTAGAATGGAGTCTAGCTGCAAGCAAGTCAGCTCTGATGACCACAACTTACATTCATGATAATACATACCACCCACTTAGAGATGCCTTAATCGGCGCAACTTCAAATCCCCAATAGATCGTCAATTCCAGTGTATGTTTCAACACCATTTTCTAATGTTCTCCTTAAACCAATTTCAACCTCAAGAGAACATTTGAAAATGTCTGTTGTTGAGGCTTCCAGGCACGAACGAGCGGTCACCCGACCCTCAGCACGGCCCGCGACATGACCCATATATATTATTTATATACATAATATACTTATATAGTATTATATAAATTGTAATTATATAATAACATATAATATATAATATATTAATAAAATAAATATTTTTATTAATTTTATTATACTAATTTATTTAATTACTGTGTATATAAGCAATTGTATACACAAAATTCATATAAAATTAAAATTTTAAGTTTTTTGTCAATTTTTTTAAATAAATAGCTTTGGCCCGATGCACAGCCTAACCTGGCCCAAGGCTCGACCCATGGGCCCGCCCGGCCTACGGCACGACATGGACCATGGGCCATGTCGGGCCAACCCCAAAATTTTCACCAGGGAGGGCAGACACGACTCGCATTATCGACATGACCCACTTTATACCTCTAGCTTCTACACCTTCAATAGAGAACTCTTTCTATCTTGCGTTGATGGTTAGGATGAAGATTGAAAGTAATGGAGAATTCTTTATGTCTTACAGTGATGGTTGCAATGAATATTGAAAGAGGAAAGTAGTTCCTCTTGATCCTTCCAATGGACCTAGGCTTTTTATAGTTTTTGACTTTTTTTTATTACTTAGGTTTTATTTTGAAAATTTGAAGAATTGTAGAGGATAAATTATATATTTTATTTTATTTTTCCGTTAGTATTTATGAAAATGTCAATTGTCATAAAATTTGAGGTACTTTAAACAATGTAGTTAAATCATAGGGTACTTTAAAAAAATTACCCTAAAAGAAAAGGAAAATTCCTAATTAATATCCTGTAGTTTGAGCCTATTGTCACTTTGGTCCATAAGCTTTAAAATGCGACAATTTAGACCCAAACTTTTAAAGCGTGATAATCTAATACCTGCCATTAACTAGCTGTTAATCAGTCGTTAAGTGAAATTTGAAAAAGACACAAATGCCCTTCAAGTGTTATTTAATTTTCTTTATCAACCATCTAAACATTGTCAAAAATTAATAATCCCAAATCTTTGTTTTTTCCGTTCAAGAAAGTTGGGGTCATGTTTGAGTGGGCATTCTGGTGACCCAACTTTCTTGAATAGAAGGCAAGGCTTTGAAACCGTTAATAATTTGCCAATGTTTTGATGGTTGATAAAGAAAATTAGATGACATTCTAAAGACATTTTTGTTTTTTTCAAATGCCACTTGATGATCGATTAACAACTAGTTATTATTGTCATGTTTTGAAAGTTAGATATTGAATTGTTGCATTTTAAAATTAAGGGACAAAAAGTGACACTAGGCCCAAAATACACTAATAGGGATGGTCGAGAGATATTTTCTCGATAATCAATTTGAGAATATCGTTCTTCCGTGAGCCTATACAGGTGAGCCCCGCTTCTTTTCTGTCTTAGATTTCCTTCTCTTTCATTCCTTTTTGTTTATTTTTTCGTTCTTTTTTACGTTCGCTTGTTATAGAGAAACCATTTTACTTGAACTTATGCAATGTTTTACTGGCAAATACAACTCTGTTCTCTGTAAAAGAAAAAGAAGGGGGAAATCTGTTATAAACGCCTTGAACTTTCACCCTATAGCGTAGCTATCGAGTCTTTTGGGGGTTTGAAGAGCTGGAGTGGATAATCCGGGAGAGTCAACTCAGGCCCATTTGGATGCATCGGTTGAGCTCCCTTTATTTTTAGTAATCTTGTAGGGTTTTGGGGCGGATATTTTAGAAAAATTGTTGCGGATACATATGCAAGAATGTTTGGGAAGTTCCAGCTGTTGAATACCAGCTGTTTTCACACTCTGGGTTCCACAAGGTCTACTACCAATTTTGGAGTTCCAGTAGAGCCATTCGATAGAGTTAAACCTGTTAAGAAGCGGAGAGAACCGACATTGCTTGTAGGTCGAAATGTAGTTCACAAGGAAACCAGTATAATTTATAGAAAAGACCAGAATGATAGAAGAGATGATGCACTTAGTCCCAGTCCAGGGCATAGCAGTTCTGTAGACAAAAATAGAGGGAAGAGTAAGAATAATGGGGTACCTGAAAGGAAGAACGATGGTGCGGTTAAATTCAGTTCTGGGTGGAGGAATTCTTCAGTTGGGAAGATGGAGACAAAGCCTTCAGCAAAATGGACTTCTTATGGAGGACGCATCCCGGCAATCTTGCAAGCACTGGAAGCAGTTGACAATCTGGATGAGGCTTTGAAGCCGTGGGAGGACAGCCTCAACAACAAAGAGAGAAGCATAATTCTCAAGGAGCAGTCAAGTTGGGAAAGAGCTCTTGAAATCTTTGAATGGCTCAAGAGGAAGGGTTGCTATGAACTGAATGTGATTCACTACAATATCATGCTCCGGATTCTTGGAAAAGCACAGAGATGGAACCACTTGGAGAGCCTCTGGGGTGAGATGGAGGACAAACGAATAATGCCCACAAATTCTACTTATGGTACCTTAATTGATGTTTATGCTAAAGGTGGCCTTAGGGAAGAGGCTCTTCTTTGGCTGGAACGGATGAAGCAGCAAGGTATGGAACCTGATGAGGTAACAATGGGTATTGTCGTTCACACTTACAAGAAGGGAGGGGAATTTGAAAAGGCTGAACAATTCTTTAAGGAGTGGTCATCAGGTAAATTGGGTAAGAATGGAGGAAGAGTTACTTCTACCATAAATGGTACTTCTCACCCTCACATGCCTTTCAGTTCATACACATATAATACCTTGATTGACACATATGGGAAGGCTGGCCAACTTCAGGAAGCATCAGAAACATTCGCTCAGATGCTGAAAGAAGGGATTCTCCCCAACACCGTAACTTTTAATACAATGATTCACATTTATGGGAACAATGGACAACTGCAAGAGGTGGCTTCCTTGATGCAAAAGATGGAAGAACTTCGGTGCCTGCCTGATACGAGAACATATAACATCCTTATTTCTCTCTATGCAAAAAATGATGACATTAACACGGCAGTCAGCTATTTTACAAAGATGAAGGAGGCTTTCCTTGAACCAGACTTTGTGAGTTACCGCACCCTCCTATATGCATTCTCAATAAGGCATATGGTTGGAGAAGCTGAAGCTCTTGTCTCAGAGATGGACAAGCAGGGTCTTGATATAGATGAGTTTACTCAATCATCTCTAACTAGAATGTACATAGAGGCTGGGATGCTCAACAAGTCTTGGTCTTGGTTTGAGAGGTTTCATTTCACAGGGAAGATGAGTTCTGAGTGCTATTCTGCCCACATTGATGCCTATGGAGAGAGGGGCTACATTTTGGAAGCTGAAAATGTTTTTCTATGTTGCCAAAATGAGAAGAAATTAACTACTCTTGAGTTCAATGTGATGATCAAGGCTTATGGGATAAGCAAGCAATATGATAAAGCATGCCATCTCTTTGATAGTATGGAGAATCATGGTGTTTTACCTGACAAATGCAGTTATAATTGTTTAATACAAATCTTATCCAGTGCTGATCTTCCACACATAGCAAAACCTTATGTCAGGAAGATGCAAGAGAAGGGATTAGTAAGTGTCTGTGTTCCATACTGTGCAATAATTTCAAGCTTTGTCAAGATTGGTCAGTTGGAAATGGCAGAGGGACTATTTAAAGAGATGCTTGCCTTTGGTATTCAACCTGATATTGTTGTTTTTGGTATCCTGATAAATGCCTTTGCTGATGCTGGATGTGTTAAAGAAGCCATGAGATATGTCAATGCAATGAGAAGTGCTGGCTTCCCTGGCAATCCCATTATCTATAATTCCATGATTAAGCTCTATTCCAAGGTTGGATATTTGCAAGAAGCGGAGGAAACATACAAGCTACTTCAATCATTTGAGGCAGGTCCTGAGTCTCCTGATGTGTACCCATCAAATTGTATGATCTATCTCTACAGTGAACGTTTGATGGTTAAACAGGCTGAAGAAATATTTGAAGACTTGAAGCAGAGAGGAGTTGCAAATGAGTTCTCATTTGCAATGATTTTGTGTATGTACAAAAGACTAGGAAGATTTGAGGAAGCAATTCAGATTGCACGCAAGATGCAACATCTAGGACTGCTAACCAATGTTTTGAGTTATAACCATATAATTGGTTTATTTGCATCAGTTGGAAGATTGAAGGAAGCAGTAGAAACTTTTCAGGAGATGATGAAATCAGGCATCCAGCCTGATGATTATACCTTCAAATTACTCGGTAGTGTTTTGGTCAAATGTGGGGTGTCAAAGGGAGCTATTAGTAAGCTGGAAGAGACAAGGGTGACGGATGGCCACCATGGTTTGCGTGCATGGATGACAACTCTCTACTCTATGGTACTGATAGATGAAGGAAGCAATAGAAACTTTTCAAAAGATGATTAAATGAGGCTGATTCTACTTTCAATTTACTTGGTCATGTTTTGGTCAAATGTGGGGTGTCAAAGGAAACTCGTAGTAATCTTGAAAGACCAGGGTGAAGGATGGACAGAATGGTTTGCATGCATGGATGTTTACTCGCTGCTCTATGGTACTGATGGATGACAATGTCTGCAGGTCATGCAGTGAAACTAAATGTGCTCTGAATTCCCTTTCTGAGGAATTGTTTTGATATGGTGTTGGTTAAATAGAGCTCAGACAGTAGTCTCATGGATGAAGTTTTGGTTAACTGATTGAACTTTTAACTGCCTATTCCAGACTGCAAGTTTCTAATAGGTTGCAGAGAGGCTCAGTATTATGGCAGACTATGTAAACTTCATTCTGGTCTGTCCATAAGAGAAAGGTACTTGTATTTTGTAATTCCCTTTGCGTGGGAAGTGTATATAGTATAAATAATTTAACTATGTCTAAACGTATTGATTTTCTCTAGTTAATTGTCAATAGCATTATTTCTCTACCAATAAAAAAGCATTTACTTTGCTAATTTTGTTACATTTCATGGGTAATGGATGTTCATGGCATTGATAGAACATATGATGAGGATTTATGGCACATGGATACAACTACATAATTAGCATACCTTTCTGACATTATCTTGCCGGACACAGCACCTGCCACTGTATAAATGTATTAAATTACCTGTATCTGTGTTAACATCCTTATCCATATTTGGGTAACTTAGATGAGAATGGTGGGTGCTGTAAACTAGAGAGCTAGGTTGGTGCAACCCAATTTGAGACAGCTGTTATTTAATGTTTTTTCAATTATGCTTGTGAATTAATATATTAATAGAGATATGATGGAACATGCATATGTATGAAGCAACCTCAATATGCTACCCAAATAGAGAGACTGCTATACTGCTTGTTGTAAGCATAATATTGATACAAGGTTGATGGGGCTTGATATTTAGTGGGTCCTGACCTCCTATATATCTTTTTTTTTTTTCTTGATAGATAAAAAAACAACATCAAGCTCCCCCAAGAAACAGCAAAAATCTGTTTACAACTGAGCCCAGAACAGGTTTTCCCTATTAACCCCTTGCTTAGCTAAAAAGTCTGACAAACCATTGGTTGATCTCCTTTGAAATCTCAATGCCATGTTACAAGTAAGCCATTTAAATCTATTTATTTATTTATTGATCAGAAAAGAAGAATTTTATTAATCATTAAGTGAACAGGTTACAGTATTACAGAGAAATACAGAAATACAGTCATTGCCCAACATAGTGTTACAATAAATCCCATAAAAGCTGCTGCCTGTAGAATGCCTTTTTGGCTAATGAGTTGGCGATCCTGTTGGCAGTCGTCCTGATCCATGTAAAAGAGGCATTGAGTTCCCTTGCTAGGCTTTCAATCTCCCTTAGGGAACGCCTGTAAATCCAAGGAGCATTACTCCTGGTGTTAGTCCAAGATATCACCAGTTTTGAATCTTCTTTGACCTCAAAAGTTTTTCAATCTGCTTGCTTAGCAAGTTTTAGACCCTGTAGCAAATGCTAACAGCTCAGCCTTTGGTGAGTCACCTATCCCTAAAGGTCCTGAGTACATTAATTTGATGGGAGCTCTAGAGGTAATCTGGGTCCTGGGGAGTATTCAGAGATGGAAATGGCAGAATCGTGGCTATGTTTTCAGGGCCAATAAGAGTGGGGGACTCATTGAGAGTGGAGATGATGGCTCTGCTTCAAGGTGTAAGATATGCCAAACAATTGGGGTTACGCCAAATTGAGATAGAGGGAGACTCTAAATTGTTAATTGATTGGCTGCAATCAGGCAAGTTGGGAGCCTGGATTTATAGGCACATCCCATAAGGGAAATCCTCAATATAACAAGGAAGATTGGTGCTTGCTTCAAATGGACAAGGAGATCAACTAATGGTTTAACTGATGCATTGGCTAAACAAGGGACTGTGAGGGAGAGTATGTTCTGGGCTGTTTTGTAATCAAGATTACTTGGGGCCCAACACCCTTTTTAGGGGTTGACAGCTGTACTCAAAATTGTATTAATGAAGTTACTGTTTCCAATAACAAAAATGGTCCTGAATACATTGCCAACACTTCGATTGAGGAATCTCTAAACATACCACCAATGCCAGCCAATCCCGGGTTTCCTATAGAGTTCCCATCAAAGTTCAGCTTGATTTTATTAAAAGCTCCATTCCATCACATTTCTTTCTTTCTTCTTTCTTTCTTCCTAGAAGAGTGTGCCACTTCATTCCACACCCTTATTATATCAGTCATTGAGAAACTTTGGAAGAGATCAAGTGTTTTTACCCAATGTGCAACTCTTATCTTTATAATTTCCACGATTTCTTCCTTCGACCTGTACTTCTCATTGAAGATCCTTGCATTTCTTTCCTCCCATACAGTCCACACCATCGCTGCCCTAACTGATTTCCACATAAACCTTTTTATTTCCTCCCTATAATTCCAAATTACTACCTCTGGTTGTTGTAATCATCCTATTACCACCTTGGAATCACCTTCAATAACCAGTTTGGCAAAGCTTAATTGTCTTGCTAAATGTACCCCTTGAAGGACAGCAAGGATTTTGGCTCTTAAAGAGTCCTCCACACCTGCAGGGCCCAAAAAAAGTGCCATAATAGTACCCTTTTCGTTTATGAAAACCCCCATATACCTGAAGGGCCTGAATTTCCTTGGCTGCTCCCATCGAAGTTTGGTTTAATAAAATCATTTTCAGGTGGTAACCAATGGGAAGAAGCCTTCTCCCTCTTTGAAGAGATTTTTTGCCACCAAAAACCAATTCCTCCAAATATCATCAAAGGAAAATTGTGAGATGTTCAAGGTTTTTACCCAATGAATCACCCTTGTTAGTATGCAAACTGTCACCTCTTCTTCACTTCTCTCTTTCTCAAGGAAGATTCTAGTGTTTCTTTCTTCCTAAATAGTCCAAACCAAAGATGCCCTTGCACATTTCCAAAGAATTCTGCCCCTTCTCTTTGACTACTTGAATGTGGAAGGATCAAATAACCTGTGTATCTCCAAGGCAAAGTCCACCTACACCCAAATAAAGGGAATAACCTTTCCCAAATATCTGCCATAAATGAACTGGAGATTAATAAGTGATAACAACTCTCCCCATTGGCTTTATAGAGGAAACACCAGTTTGGAGATAAACAAAGAAGGGGCCTTCTCTTTTGTAGATTGTCCTAAGTATTGATCTTCCCATAAAACACTTCCCAACACAGAGCCCCGACTTTAGGGGGGATAAGTTTACACCAAATTTCTTTGGTATGAAAAGTCTGAAGGGATGGAGAGGAAGATAAAGAAGAGAAGAAAGAAGCACAAGTAAAGGATTCAGAGGGGTGAGGAGACTAAATATGCCTATCAGACCTGCAAGGGTCCAGCCACACATTATCAAGGACTTGAACAAGACTAGCCAAAGAGTCATCCTCACATTCTGAAGCTCCTTCTAGACCTCCTATTGTCAAAATTCATATGATAGATGATGAAATCCATCACCCGTGGAAGGCATTAAAAGGCATATCTTAGCTATAGTGATCTCGTGGATTCTTAAGAGTAAACTCTTTGTGGGATTCAGATATGGTGATCTTGACAAAAATCCTTTTGAGATCTTGAACTCTTCTCCTTTTGTGCCTCATCCCATTCATACCCATCCCCACAGGCCATCTACAGCCTATATCTATATCTTACAATTTGATGGTAGTTTGAGAACTTCAACTGAGGTCCAAGCAGGAACTTGGGGGGGGGGGGGTATTCTAAATGCTAATGGAAATCTGATGTGGGCTTTTAGTTGACCTGTAGCTACAAGAGATGCCTCAGAAGCTGAAATAAAAGCCCTCCTTGCAGGCCTCAGAATAGCTTAGACCTTGCAGGTTCTTGGTCACTAGCTCACCTCCTTGAATTAAGAGAGCTTATCTCTTTTCTTGGCTGCAGCTTCAGATGGATTCTAGAGAGCTTAATCAAATAGCAGACTCATTAGCTAAATCAGGTGTAGAGAGGAATTTTTTGTATGGGCTTTTTCACTTTTTTTTTTTCTTGCAAAGCCCTACCTCTTGTACATCCTCTCATGTTCATCTCTCTTTTTGGTTTAATGAAATAGTTACTTTTTTCTCAAAAAAAAAAGAAAAAAAAAAGATGATGAAGCATTATAGATTTAGGGTTGATGGGACCTGATATTTAGCAACAACCTTCTATATTGAAACCTGGATGAAAGATGAGGAGATAGAATCTAAATATGAGGCTTTACAGAAATGGCTGGTGGTACTATCTTGAGGCTTTGAAATTGCTCTTTAATACACCTTTTCCAGGGCCACCCTTTAGGTGTCCTAATGTTACATTTTCCAGATAATCTAAATGCAACCTCAGTTGAATTTTACCCATTTAATTGGAATATCAGCCGATGCTTTTGATGAGGAGTGAGCATAGTTTTGAAGGCGCCAAGGCAAGCCTTGTTGTCTAGTGGCCTAGGTGGTGGGTTTTTTATAATAGAAAATTATAATTCCCAAGGTAATTCCCTAGGTTTTATAGTAATCAGCAGTAATCTTTGACTAATAATTACCATATTCCTTATGGTAAGTATAAACCTCATAAAAACATATAAAATCAACATATTTAAGAGAAGAAAAAGAAGAAAGAAAAAGAAAATATAGGGACTAGTCCTTGTTTTAATTATTATTACTATTATTAATATAATAGTAATGATAATAATAATTCCTTGGTTACCTTTGTGTGCTGATTGGATAAAATCCTCCAAGTTTTTCTTTATTTATCAGTTCAGGTTTTGAAATCTTTTAGAGTTCAAGATTATATCACTGACTTGTATGTCAATTGAACCCAAACAAATAAGAAAATAATAAAATGTAACTAGTATAAGAATTATAAAAATATTATAAATCCTTAAAATGAATAATTTAGTGTAATAACATCTTTTGTAACAACAACAATTTCAAAAGAATAATAACCTAGAAGGGGGGGGGGGATGTAAAAGCCTTACCCCTTGAGTAGTTACACATAAAACCAGATGATCTCTAAAATAAACAAAAAGGATCCTAACTAAGCTGCAAAAAAGGGATACCAAGACCATCATTCTTCAGCAATCTCTGAGTTGTAAATTAAGTTGTTAGAAGAACCGCTACCCATCTTGGAAAGATTGTCTGTGACTTGATTTACTTCTCTGTAAATACGTACAATGTGCAAGTCCATAACCGCATGGTAGTTCTCCATGAGATCCATCCAATACCAAAGTTGCCAAGGAGTTCTACAATGTTTCATCAATATATCATGAAGAGTTTTTGAATCAGTCTCGATTAACAATTTTGTTATACCCATTGTTCGAGCCAATTCAACAGTTTCTATCAAAGCTGCAGCCTCTGCTTACAGATTAGTATTTGTTCCATACCAACTATTGCATGCAACCACAAACCTGTTACCACCGTCTCAGATTATTCCCCCTCCACTGGGACCAGGGTTTTCTCTTGAGGAGCCATCAACGTTAAGTTTATAGAAGTTCACT